GATACTTATAGTGAGGAAATGTATGTGGAACCATTGAAAGGTCAGTATATCTCAGTATATTTTCAGTATACTGTACGTTACATGATGTATAATTTTATTGTTAGTATATTAATTACTATATTATTAGGACCAGAGAAGATGAAGCATTATGAACAGAGACAGGTGTATGTTATAAGATGGCATCCATCACAATGTTCAGTTGATCCAATAGAAGAAATTATACTGGATAAGAGACATGATCATAAGCATGTTATTGGAAAGGTATTATTTGTAAAAATAGAAATTATAAGAAAGAACATGTATTAGTAATATCACATTATTATTATTTTTATTGTTTTACAGCTGTCAAAATTAAGTGGAGTTCCTGTTGAGTATATCTATTGTACAGACGTTAGTCATTGAAAAGTATTGATAATATGAATATTGCCTTTTTCTCTCATTCTATTAGAGTGAATCATTTCCAGTTGAGATATCATGTCTTGATATTGAGAATAAGTTTGAATGGTATTCCATGAGTTCAGACAGATATTACTCATTAAGACTATATGATGGAGATGTCATATATTACAAGTACTACTGAACACACACACACATTATGTATACACACACACTTACATACACCTCTTACTGTTTATAATTATTTAGAGACAATAGAGAGACAATGAAAGAGTTAACAGATAAAGAGAGATCAGAAATACGAAGGGCAGAGGAAGCAAGGTCAGTAAACCTCATGTATCATCATGTACATGTACTATCAGTTAATGTAATACCTCATCACTTATAACCATTTATTGTATTGTAGGTTGAGGAGGATTAGGGAATGCATATCATTCAAAGCATTAACATAGTATTGGATATTGGTAATAGGACTGACTGAATGGATTGGTTTAATTTCTAAGCTTCATATTAATTTTTTTATAATTACAATCCTGCATGCACAAATTACTTACTATGTAATAAATTATTTTTAAATGATTTTATAAATAATTTAAACTTTTATTTAATTTTATATAGTTAGTAGTTCTTCATTGACTCCATTAGTTGCTAGTCCCCAGAGTGAGTTAGCTATAGCCACATGATCACATTTACTGATATCAAATGAAAATGACTCAATCTCTCCATCATCTCTCCTCATAACTGGCAGCCATTTTGAATTAAGGAATAAGAGAATAATAATAATAAATATTAGTAATAAAATAAGTACATGTACATGTACAATATGCTAGAATATAATCATACCACAGTTCAATGTAATACTGTAGTATAGTGTGGATCTACTTTAGTGAGGTATATATGGTTTACCGTATAGCGGGAAATTTTGGAGGGAATTAAATTTGGCGAATTTGGCGTTATGATAGCCATTCGCCAAAATTAAATCCGCCATTTTGAGCCATTATACGCATACTCAATGGCACATGGCCACCAATTCGCCAAATTAAAATCCGCCAATCACCAAAATTTAGCAATTCGCCAAATTTTAGTCCCTCCAAAATTTTCCGCTATACGGTACATTATGCAACTGTGAAATGAAGGATTTTATTTTGGGTCTGAGATCACTCCAATGTTTTACTGATACATATTGATGTACATGTACATGGTATGTTAAGAGGATACATCCTTGAACAGTATCAACTGTTGA